CTCCAATCATAAGCACTGACCCAGACACCAACAAACGTCGAACCAAACTACCAAATCTTTTTTGTCGCCCGCTATAAAGAGCCAATATGGGCTGTTTAAGATGGGAAAATAAAACGACTGTCAAGAACGACAGTTTGTACAATACACGTTTGTTTGAGGACAAAGGCGGTATATGTGAATCGTGACCTCATGCGTGTGGGCAAAAGCGGAGACGCACTAGGTTAGGCAAACACGTTTGCCTCCATGTGTACAAAATTTCCAATATATACAACCTTCAAAAGCGTTTTTATGATGTTGCATTATTTTAGAAAGCAAAAAAAGCGGCTCAGTTAGGAGAGACCAATGACGAAGTCTATTATTTGTAAGTGTAGGATATAAGTGAGGCTGGCTGAAATTGCAGGATAAAGTGCTTATCCAATCAACACTGCCAAGCAGATTATTAATTCACGAGGAATTAGGCTACCACACTGTCAAACGTCATGTTGTCGTTCGACTGAATTGACGGGTATGGTAGGAAAAAAGACTGTTCAAAAGACACGATGGCAAGTGAGCTTACATCATCGACGTCTTGCACAAATCCTTGAAGTCTAGACTGTTGTGCCAACTTGGCCTCACGCTCAATAGCCTTCTCCTTGACAGCTTGCCGCCTAAAATGCCGATTCGGCATAATAACAAGGAAGAGAAGAAAAGGTGTTTTTTGGAAATAAATACTCACTTCTGCTCGAGCTGATCACACTTAGCCACGAGCTTCTCGACGGGGAACACGCCACGGCTTGCCAGATCGCGACCAACAGCAATAACTTGAGAGATTTTTTCATCGTTAGCGGGCATCGCGGCCTGGAATGTGCTGAGATTACGCAGGGCCTCTTCAACGGACTCCGGAGTAGGCTACAAAATATGACCATAATGAAATGAGCGCCACTAAATAAACTCACAGGAAGCAACGTTTGCGATTGCATCAACGGTCATGAAAAGCATTAGACCGAAGAGAATCGCCATTTAAGTACTATACAACGGAAAATATGGTGGAAACGCACCGCAACTTCCTTAGTAATGAGTGCCTCCTGCTTATTGATGAGTTTGTCCATAAGAGTGGCGTCCCTGAAGAATGACTATGAAACCAAAAAACTGGTTAAAAGCGGGAAAGAAGAATGCACATTGAGCAAAGAATCAATAGTCCCCACAGCCGGTACAGTAAATTGACAACGATTTTTGAAGCACTCATAATCCACAATGGTTTTAAATAGAAAAACAATTGAATCCGCCGAAGAGGAGGTAACGAAAATAACCTGAGCTTCCACATCCTGTTTGAGAACTTTATCACGATCCTCGTACATCTTGTGCAGAGCAACCCAATTTTCCTCGATACCGTCTAAACGTTCGGAGAGGAAGAGATATTGAGGATCAGTCTGATTCTCCACAACTTTCCGACCTATCTCCATAAGCCGTCTGAAGTCGTCTTCATAGCCATCAATTTCTGGCTTGAACTGTTCATGTTCTTGCAGAAGTTTTTCTGCCTCCTAAAACGCAAAATATAACAATTTTAACTAGAAGTCATGATTGACCTCTGTTGTACAAGACTTTGATACTTAAAGTACTTTCAAGTGATGGCTTACTGGAAGAGTGTTCGGCACATCCTCGGATGCAACTGTAACTTGAGCCTTGCGGAGCCAAACTTGGAAATGGTCAAGATCCTGCAAGAAGCGCTGGAGTTCACTCGAGTCATTCAGACGGTCATCACGTTCCTTCAACATTTCCTTCAGTTCGTTCCACAAGTCATGAATCTTCTTCCTCTCAGCTAAAATTACCTAAGGCTTAATATACTACCCCTAATAGCAACTTACTTCCGACGCCTCTGGCTTAGCTGCATCCAACACATCGGCCTGTTCATCCAGATGATCAATTTTAGCCTGTATAGCTTGAAGATCACGCTGGAGTCCGCTTAGTCGACGCTGAAGCTGCATGATGCCCTCCAAATCATTACCAAGTTCATCGGTGGACTCAATTAACTGTTCCTTCTCCTTTATCCAATTCGCCGTCTCTTGACACTCAATCAGGAACTGATTGTACTGGTAGGCTGTCTCTAATTGGCCCTTCTGCTTCTCTACAAGATCAGCCAGATCATTCCATGTAGTATTGAGTGTATCCTGACGGATGATGATTTGCTGTGCGTCAGGATGATCGGTTCCAATTAGGTTTTCGGAAAGCTTGTTGACGGACCCAACTTTTTCCGCATTCTTCGTCATCTCTTTCTCAAAGCACTCGAATCTGTGGCGGATAACACCAAGCTCCTCAATTTCATCTGAAGGACAAAGGGTTGTAAGAAGTTTCCTCTTTTCAGTGATCCAAGTACGAACTGTGTCAGAAACATCGAACAACTTGTACATAGACAGCGCATCCAGGAGGCGCTGTTGCCTTTGCTTTGCCATCTCAACAGCTTTGGCATAATTTTCGTCCACGGTATTGAGGTGGGAGGTGATAATGGCAGAATCACAATCTGGGTACTCCGAGACCTCCGCAGCGGTGTCGTGTAGGTTCTTAATAGATTCACGATATTGTTCAAGGTTTTCCATAAGTTCCTGATTTATTTTTATTAGCGATTCCGTGGTGGACATCTTTAAGCCAACATCCTCGTTACTGGCGATGCGTTGCTGATCAAGAAGCCAAGCATTAGCATCATCACAGTCGGCTATTAACTGGAAAAACTTCTGAGACTCCAGCAGGCGCTTCTTACGATCCACGGTTGAATCAGCTAACTGATCCCAGAGCTTATGCATCTCGTCGATTCGCAGTTTAATATCCTCCTTACCACGGTTGTTCTCTTCAATGAGTTGGTTGCCAGCACTAATGGCGTTATAGAAGACATTTTGACGAATCTTACACTCTTCTTCCAAAGCCCGATGCTTGCGAAGGAGACGCTCGACTGAGCTGAGATCATGACCCAAATCGGGGCTAGACATGAGCTGACTCTTCTCCTTAATCCACTCCTTCTCGTCGTCCATATCCCAGAAGAACTGCCACATCTTATGAGAGTCCTCAAGACCATGACGCCTGGCATCAGCCAACCGACACAATTCCTCGTAAGCCGCACGCAAATCTTCGCCTCGCTTTTTAACAAGCTCCGGTTCAGCAGGACGATAGCCCTCCACGCTTTCAGGGAAGTTACAATCTATGAAAATCTTGGCCTGGTCCAAAACCTGATTTAGCCGATCATGAAGAACGTGGATGTCGGCCTCTAAAAGCTTGTGTTTCTGTAACAGATCATCAACGCCCATGAGATGCTTTCCGTAATCCTCCGACTTAAGTCGACTTCCGATTTCATCAATCCAATCCTGCAGGTAAGAAATTTCTTGGAATACACGTTGTAATTGTAGGCTTAGGTTCAAGCAGCTGCGACGCTTACGAAGCAATTCAAGAAGATTTGTCCATAGCTGGAGAACATTCTCACGTCGCATCTGAATTCGATCGTTATCATAGTAGTTTTCCAGCTGTAGTTCCTCCGCCACACTGACTACGGCATTAACGCGTTCAGCATACGCTGAAATATCCGTTTCAATGGCTTCGTGTTTCTTGGTGGCCGCTTCAACAGTTGCAAGATCAGACCCAAAGTTATACTGCGCAACAAGACGCTGGTTTTCTGAAAGCCAGGCCTCACGCATACCCGCCTTCCGATCAAATCGGGTGGCAAGTTGAGCAAGTTTCTCCTGTCGGATCAATTCGTCGCGCAATGCCAACTCGCGAGCATGCTCAGCTTTTTCCAGATTCTCCCAGGCGCGATTAATATCGGCAATTCGTTTCCCTTCGGGTGGAACATAAACCTTGTGATTATTAGCCCTCATTTTGCTCTGAAGAGTAAAAAGAAGGACTTCAAGATCGCCCTTTTCAACGAACTTGGGCGGTTTGTCAACAGTGCGGTAAGTGTTGAATCCTGCCAACTGGTGCTGGACGTCGGTCAGTGAGTTGGCGAAAACACGATCATTTAACAGCTCAATTGTTTTCTGGATCCAATTAAGAAGATCAGATGTCGACTGTTCGTACTTGTCAAGCAATTGAGATGATTCCAATGCCTGATTTACAACCTTTCCAATACGCTTGGAGTGTACAGTATCTGCCTTCATTTTATTGAAACAGTGGTAGAAGGCAGCCACATACGTAATGATTGACTTTTCATCAGGTTGCTCTACGCACACATCGCTTGCCTCCAAGAGAGGAGGTACACCAAGCTTATCATGCGCGACAGTAAAAGCATTTTGTAAATTTTGCATAGGGTTGGCCTTAGTTAACTTCTGATATTCGATAAGGTCAGGGCGGTGTTTGTGAATAAGAGCATTAAATGCGAGACCATCGCGCCAGGAGGTTGAGAAATTTCGCACGTTAACATTATTATACCCTGCTGTTTTCATTTGACACCACAACAAAAGAGCGTCCTTTGCACACTTAGTCTCGCTTGTCTGATATTCTTCAACAATAATGTCTTGAATCTGGAAACGTAAAATTATAGTCCAGATCAGACCGAGGGTTAAACGCTGATTTCCATCAACGATATCATGTGCACCAACATTTTCCAAGTGAACATGCTGGTCACAGAGGAAGTTAAGCGACTTATCAACGTTCTCTAAACAATGAATTCGCATTTTGCCACGAGTAGGCTTGGGAAGCCGCTCTCCAGAAAGGATTTCAAGCAGCTTAAGCAAGTGTTTACCGTCGCGAAGATCGAGATAAAGATCTTCCACTCGCTGATTCACAACCGCTAAATGTGAGTTAACCCACTTTGTGAAAGTTTTCTTTTGAACAATTTCACGTTCATCTAGAAATGCAATGTTACCAAAACCAAAGCTCACCTGCGAGCGCCTTAATGCGAGAACGCTCATATAGCTTAGCCGTGCTATTTCCGCTTTCAAAATCATCATCGTCAGACATGTAGTTGTTAGGTTGGTCCACGGAATTGGGCTCCCAGTGCAAATTTTGATGCATTGCCTGTATCTCCATCTCTACAAGTATGTAAATAAATCAAGACGGATATAGCATAAGCCGATCGTTTATACGCACGTCATAGCTTAAAGGAGGCTCCAAGATATTAGAGAATGAGACAAAGTACTAGCAAATTGTATCGGTATTCCAGAGACTAGTTACGGAAATTTGTAACCAACCAAAAGAATTAAGCATACAAGACCTACGTTTGTATAATCACCATTTGGACCACAAATAAGTAACTTATTGTCATCACCTCCTGGATCGAAAACACCAACATCGCAAGGCTAAACTGAGACATCAAACAAAACACGTTCCAAAAGGAGCAAGTATGCACGCACACCCACATTTTTCCCAAGAAAACTAAAAACTCATGACCACTACTACTCCAGAAAATGCTAGCTATCACAAGAGATGGCAGCGCAGCACATGTAATGCAACAAAAGGACAACCCACTTCACGAACGACAGGTACCAGTTAGAGGTGAGACATCCGCCATACAACTTCTAGTGTCCATAAACGTGTGTAGGGCAAACAAACAAATCATGCGACAACTTCAAAACAAAAAGTTTGATCTTAATTTTAGTTAAGTTTGACATTACTTACATGCCTTTAAATAAAGATAGGTGATGACATCAGTTTAATTCTATTAAGCGAGGAACGATAAAATTGATGGTTGCATAGAGATGGATCTAATGAAATGGACTCTGAATGAAGATCAGGTCTAGTTGTTATACCTGTACGTTTCGCGCCTGATCTAGTTTAACATAAAATTCGAAAAATTTTAAAAACCTTAATGTTGTAAATTGCGTTGCAGATTCGCTTAACCAGATTTATTCAATTTGCGCTTAGAACCACCCGTAGCGTCCCAAGACCTTTTGCAGGGTAGAAAAAGTAAGCAAGTGGAGCTGAATACAGAGTGCAACAAAGGGGCTAAGTATGGGCTTGGCCCGTAGGCCAATCCATGCCTACAAGGGCCAAACAAACCTTAAAGTAGCCACCATGCATCAGGTGGTAACCGTAGCGTCTCGAGACCTCCTGACCGGTATAAGAAGCCAGTAAGTGCAGTTGGATACATGTATTCTGATGACGACAGGAACAGCCCACGTGTTAAAAGGACCAGACAAATCCTAAAATGACCGCCTAACTTCATGTGCTCCCATAAACAAAGTATTATCTCACATTAACAAAGTACTATGCTGCTTCCCTGTTCTTTTGACCTACGGTATTGGTGCTCTCTTCTTAACACCTCCCGCGCCACTCATCCCAACATATTTGGTACTACAAGAAGGTACCCACGAGCCAGCCGCCCTAGTCGCCAGCTACCGTGAGACTGAGGAAAAGTACTTAGTCTCCTCAACAGCTTTATTTGGACATGGATTACATTCGGTCCGACAGTCTGATTCGAGGCCGCATACATCTGCTGATCATCGATTGCTTGCAAGATTGGACGGTGAATCTCCCGTATATAAGGAGATTTGTAGCCATTTTCGACACCTTTACAAGGATTTGGTAGAGGCAATTCCGACCCGGAACTTCTCAAATAGTTCATAGCGGTGTTGCTTCAATTTTTAAAATCTTGCCTGTGGAACACGGGGACACGGTGAGACCAAACACAGACAGCATTATCAACCCTTCTGTTTGGAAGAACTCGGGGATTCTCGCGACTCAGATATAAATGCGCCTCTTACACCCCACTGACACATGCAGCAAACGGTATATACTAAGGCAGGCTTCGTTAAAAAATTGTCGGATTCATTTTCTGCTGCCACCACTGAAGCATCATGAGATTTTTTATCGAGTAGAAACCAGCAAGAGGAGCTGAATACACACATTCAAGGGTGAACAAACGAACTAGATCTGAGCTTGGCCCGTAGGCCAACCCACGAGCACAAAGGCCAGACAAATCTCAAAGTAATCACCAAACATCAGGTTGTCACATCACTAAAGTATCACAACACCCTCATAAGTGAGAAAAGCGTAGCGCTTGAGCATTATTCAGAGTGTCATCAAGGGGTAAAGGTACGAGTGCTGCAATGCTTTGTTTATTTGACTTTTAGAGATCACTTTGACATCCACCTTGCTTTTGCTACTTGGATTAGACTTCCAGCCTTTTCTCTTTTAATATAAGTTTGAAGCCCAGCCCAGTGAGTTCCACTGCTGGACGCTACAGAGACAATTGCACAGCTGATCAACTCAAAACGCTCGCCTATTTGTTTGCACTTCGATACTGCAACAAAAATATGTTGCAATATACATATGACACCTCCGATGTTGGAGGCGACTGAACTAACCCATGGTGTGTTCTTAAGGTGAGATGCCCATTCTTCTTTCGCGTATCCCTATTTGAATTCCGTTTCAGGCAGCTGTTGACAGGATGAATGAACGACGCTAGGAGAGCGTCACGTTCTACATTAAATAGAGGGCTTTCGAGTGTCATTAGAGCTCAATTTCAATAGGCAAATTATTGTTGTAGAACCCAGACATTATCCCGAAGACAAAAGAAGGGGACAATACACGCTTTTCTCCTTAAACCTGACCTTATTTGAGGCTTGGGTAACTGTCATTCGTAAAAGAGGACATCAAGTGGAATTGGGGAGGAGGAAGAATTTGGGCTTTGACTCGACCCGAAGGTCAGCCCACACGACTCAGAGCAAGTTAAAAACTAAAGTGATTGCCATTCATAAGGATAGACAAATGAATAAGGTGTCACACTCTTAGTTGAAACGGTGAGCCGACAAACCAGCTATTTGCTGATGAGGCATTAACCCCATTTCGGATCATTATTTGGCTAGATTTTCGAATTAAATTCCAAAGTGCGTCCCAATGCGAACTCCAGATTTGCGCTGCACATCATTTGTGCAATAAGGTGAACCTATCAAAGGGAAGACAATTTGACAGCCGGCGTATCAGCTCAGCTCCACGTGAGAAGGAAGCACTTTTACTGTGGAGTGAGCAGAATAATTTTGGTAGGGTGATATAGATGAAAATAGGAAGACTGGATTTTGTGCTCCCCTCAAACCATCAATATGACTCGTGTTAATGGGACTTCAAAGGTATCAACTCAAGACCATAGTAAAGAAAAGACTTTGAGAAGCTCCCTGCAGCATATCCTCTAAAGTATTTTCACCATCGTGACCCTAGAACTGAAGTCTGCCTACACCACACAACAAATGGGGCTCGTTAAATGGATTTTGAAACAGCAACACCAAGTCGATGCTGGTTGTTCGAAATACATCGTCCTCAGCGATGAGGTCCGTCTTCGGCTTGATGGCAGTTGAACTTTGGAAACTCATAGGTGATTACTGAGAAGCAGATGCTTTTGAAATACGCCACACCGATCCCAATTTCGGTCTGAATGCACCACTAGGCCAGTTCTTGTCGAACGTGCGGATGGTCACCCACCAGCAGTTAGAGGTGAACGCCGTTGCAACATGGTAATCCACTTTTTGCGCCTAAATTGCATGACATGGAAGTGAGTGCAATGTAATTTCAGCAAGCTAGTGCTGCGTCAGTCACCACATGGTCTTGTAATTTTTCATGTTGGCGACTGAGCAAGACTAACTCTCGGCAGATTTTGGAGTTTGAGGTCTAAGTCAACAGTTCGCGACCACTCACACCTTGAAGGAGGAGATCGAACGCTGTAACATTAACGCAACATAATTTTTCACATGCAACCCTGATTTGCATACCTTCTTAATAAGTAAGTCTGCATAATTTACCTAAACTACTTCTGGTGTAAAGTTGTGAACATTGCTTACAAATGCAATCAAAAGGATGGCTTGCTCCGACAGGACTGAAGATGCAAGTATTTTCCTGGCATCATCAGAGTTGATTAAGTGCTGCTGCTACATTGGCAAAGATGTTCTTCCTATTTTACATATTATGTGGACTAAGTGATTGTGACAAATTACTGGAGACATACGTTTAACCGGAGGACTTTGTTCAACAGCTTCAACGATGGATTTTCCGTATTAAAAAGCCTCTAGCAAAACTAAGTTTCAAAGAGCTTCGAAAATATGAACATTCAGAGCCATTTTAAAAGCTACAGCGATGTTACGTTCAATTTTTCACGCTAATGAGCAAAGTCTGTTGCGACCCATCAGTAATAAAACTTAACTCTGACTATGGAAAAATTGTTTATTCACGCTTAGATCAAGGAATATTCGCAAAGCCACCAAGGCCAATTTTCAAAGTTGAATCGCCTATATATCGTAATACGCAAAACAAACCCGACATCGGTACCCCATTGGAGGCAGAACTTGCTTCCATCGCACACATTAAGAGATTTTTTGTAGTTTACATTCAACCTTCCATCAGGTTGATAATTTCAGAGGTGTTACAGTGATAAGTCCTAAGAATATGCATGTCGCCCTACAATCTGCATGGTAGGAGGTTCGTGAGCACAATCCATTTGTTCCCCCATTGTAAGGAGAGCATAACATATCAAGCTAGTGTGGCGTGCTACCCAAGTTATACAAGAAGCCTTGCTTGATTCAAGCAAATGAGGTGAATATCCTACCACAAGTTTCCACTGCAAGCTCGCAGTGGACTAAGTGCAAACAAATCAGCCCAAGAGTAAACTAGCTCTGCACAAAAACGTTTTGAGATTATCGCGTGAATCTACCAGAGGATCACGCACTAGTCTTAGCCTGAAGGAAGTCTTTCATCCTCGAATCATGGGAACAAATTCCACAGTTTAAAATACCTTTTTTAACGCTTCAAATGGCTGTGATGAGACTAAACAAGCCAACGCTGTACCTCATCGGTGCCAGTTGTTACGATACCACTAAACGACGTTCCAACGCCACACACCGAGTGTAAGGCCGGAGTGCACTTGAGTGGACCTGGGCGCTGAAAAGGCCCCGGCCGCTTACACAAGTTCAATAACACCAACTGAGACGGTTCTACTTCAACAAAAAACCCAGAGGTTGGAATATCTTCCAAGCTCAAATTCGACAGCAGCAGAGACATACTCCAAACTAGTACCTTAGGCTAAAACAAAATTAAATGCGAGTCAAAATCGACCAACAAAGCACTAATTCTTACAACAGTAACAATGAACAATAAGCACTAGAAACAACCCATTCTGGTCTGGTTCCCATTGCTTATAGACGAGCAGTACAGAGGAAACTACCTAACCACACAACTGATAAGTGGAAACAACCGAAAAGGTGCACAAATACAGAAAATCGGCCCCGAGAAACGTAAATACACTAGATGTAGAAGTGATCACGTAGGAATATGTATTTACATGGAAAATATGTGAATATAATCACTGTACAGATGGGTCCTTAGCTGCCGGTTCAGAATGCAATTTCTGCTGACGCGCTTGCCATTTACGGTACTTGTAGTATTTGCGTAAATAAAGCTTTACGAATTCGCCAATTTTTTTTGTATTTATTGAAGTGCAACTGCTCCTCGATATCTGAGAGGGAATAAGTAATACAAAGAGGTGCTTACCTTATTTACAGACTTTTTGAGAACCGTACGACAATCCTCTTTTGACACTTTTCCAGCGGCATAAAACGGCTTGATAAAACTTTTCACTTCAAGGGCAATACGCTCCTGCCATTCTCGAGTGCTAGAAAATTCCGACCTTTTGCGCCTAGCAAGCATTTCCTGAATATTGTACTGGAGACGATGCTTGTGCTTCTTTCCGTCTGTCGGACCACTTCCATTGCCATTTGGAACTTCACTACTGCCCATGATTCCACCAATAATAGGTAGAGGGGGCATTGACGACTTGGTGGGAGAAAGACATTGGTCTGACTTCCCCGCACTTCGGCAAGTCAAAGGTGGAGGAGGCGGCGGCGGCGGAGGACTACCGTCTGTACTAACCGGTACATTTAATTGATTTAGCAACGTATTCGCTGCCGAGTTCAACAATTTATTAATTTTCTTCATCGGAGACTTATCTTCAATTGGTTCTGGAAGGGGAATGGTAGCCATTGGAATCGCACCACCTGCTGAAGTACTGCTTAGTGCAGCTATGCCGTCTGTCGGCAGTCCCACCTTGCTCATTAATGTTTCAAGCAAATTGGACTGGGACGGCGGTGGTGGCGGAGGTGGAGGTGATGCGAGCGCCGGTCTTGACGAAACCTCAGTATGCGATTGCTGTTGAAGTGGTAAGCTCGAATTGGTATTGATGTGCTGAATAAAGGGTGGAGGCGGGGCTGAATAAGATAGATTTGATGGCAATGACGGAGGGGGTGGAGGAGGAGGGGGTGGCTGTCCCAAGATCCCACCAAACGGCAGTAGCGGGTTAAGCATCCCATTAATTGTCATGAATTGAGCTGGTGGCGCTCCAGGAAAGCGATTCACATATGCTGGATTGAATGCCGGGCGTTGTGACATGAGATTGGGTGGTAATTCCTTCATTGCCGATGAATTCAGCCTACGGGCCTGGTAGTTGCCATCGTAGCTGCCAGGCCTCGACTGATTATGAAGGGTATCTCGAACCAAAGAACCTGGAAGCTGTTGCAAATTACTCGGATGATTTATCTGCCCAAAAGCGGGAGGATTCTGCGATTTCTGTTTCCAATCAAAGAAGTTCGGTGCACTAGTTAACGGAGGAGGAGGAGGGTGATTTTGAAAAACAAAGGCAACGTTCTCATTCATGTTCCTGGCCACGGGAAGATGATCTTCAGAAATATCTGGAGTGCTTGTTTCGTCCATGTCATATTGATGGTCAATAGGATCGTTTTTGATAGTATTTTCCGGAAGAGGCGGCATCACCGATGCAGTAGAAGTCACTAGGCCCATAGATGTCGTAGTCAAGACACATGCACTTTGATCTTTCCGAAGACCACGGGGTTCACTTCCGTTGTCTTTGTTTTGACGACTGTGACTTCTAGAACGTGTTCGACGGTCTCGATGCGAGTCGCGCCTGCGACGATCGTGTCTACTACGCAGAGCCGACCGAGACCGTCTATAATGCCTGTCCCTTGATCTAGACCTAGAATGACGTCGGTTGTGTGAGTTACGGTAACGCGAATGAGACGAAGAACGCCTTCGAGAACTTCTACTATCATGTCTACGTCTCGGCGAACGACTCCGGTAACGCGAGGACTTGGAAGCGGAATAACGATTCGATCCCTTGTAAGGCCCAGGAGACTTGCTCTTGTGTGAACAATGCCCTCCAATTTTCTGGTCGATATTATCCAAAGTCGTTCCTTTCTGGTCACCGGCACTTTTACCGGTAGTTCTGGTAGATTGATCGCCATTGAACAGCCTGTTACCATCCTTTAACAAAGGAGACTCAGAGCTTATCTTTTTACTATCCTTTTCGTTGGCAATCTCATCAGTCTTTGATAGACTCGCCTCCGGTGGATCAAAGCTTTCAGTCATAGGAGCATCCTGACCCACAGTTAAGGCATCCGAGAGCATATTGGACGAGGTAGAGAGGGTTGGTGACAGATCAGGGGACTTCATAAGGCATGACGTTTCAATCAAAGAAGTAGACCCTGCACCGGACACGGCACGACCAAGGCAGCGCGAACTCTCAATCCCTACCTCAAAGTTCTCACCAGTATTTTCACAATCAGCATCTTGGTCAGTTGGATGAGATGGCGAATAAACGTCCATGATGGAAAACACTTGAAGTAGCAAAGAACGCACCCGGAACGATACGCTAAACCGCAGATAAACCAACCGCTGAAGGCACATTCATAATGGGAACAAACTAACCATTTTCACACACTTAAACAAAATACCGTTTCAATGAGGTGCATTATGTGCAACAAAATTATCCCGCAATGTTTTTGCGGCAAATTATTCGTAATTTTGTTGCTAGAGGTACTGTAAAAATGTCTACGCTTCGGGATTAGCAACTTATAATAGCTATACCTTTTCCAAAATTCCTTAATAGTAACTAAGCTACTTTCTGTAAAATCATGCAGTATGCAGAGATCAATACGCGTATTTAGAAAAAAAGAAACAAATTAGTTCATCAAAACATATTTCATTGGCGAATCAGCAAAATTTTCTTAATGACGCAGATTGTAAAACTACTTGCATACCCTCCTGCCCTTGAACCTCGGACTCCAAACGAGGGTTGGTTGCAGATGATTTATTTGGCATTGGTTTAAGGAATAATGAGGAATAGGATGCGAGTGGGCCAAATAGGAGATATTAACTAGAGAGAGACTCCTCACCATCCTCGTGCACGTTGTTCACGTTTCCAATTGGTTCCGCCCCTCTCCTATGATAGTCCACGTAGAAAATCCAGTATATATTACACAGATGACTACAGCTTCACTATATAAATAATAAAAGACAGCCATCACTACATCGTCCCGTTTTTCGACCACCGTTTCTTATGAGATTTGTCGTATTGAGAAGATTTTGGCATTTAACGCGATGATTCAAAGATAAATAATATTTAGTGAAAACAATTAATCATTGCTTAATCTATTTCCACGTTCTATATATTTCTTAACTGATGCGTATTACATCAACATCAAGGGATATACATGCGATGGTTAACGATGATCGGATCAAGGTTTGGCACAGCACTGGAACAGCTCCCGCACATGTGACTGCCACCGATATCGGTTGTTAGCCGACATCCTCAGCGCTCCCATCCACG